TACTTCTGGTCATGTGTCCATCTTGACCCTGAGAGTCAGAGGCATAGTAAACAGAGGTCAAGGGGTGTAGGTAATGTGTCCCTAATTTTGGTTCAGAAAGAACAGAGTTGAAATGGCTGTCCTTAAAAGGGGCAAGCTTCGAGGAAAGGCTCAACAATCTTTGGTGGTGTTCCCCATAAAAAAAATGGTTTGGTGTTCCTCGGTCTTAAAAAGTTTGTTAGGTAATCCCTTTCCCCAGATTTGGACTCGAGGCTACTGTAAGGCCTTACTTTATATGTCTCCACTTCCACTTGTATAGTAGCTCCCCAAATCACTGATTTCCAGACTATTTTAAAGCTGTTAACATGGCTTTGACACATATGTCTCCCTTCTTCGGGTAGTGTCCCCGTGGGTGCTCCACTGTGAGTGTTGGGTCCCATCCTGGCGCTGCAGATCTGAGATCTTCTAGCTGTTGTTTGCCAGACCGCGCATGCGCGGTGGCCATCTTGCGGCTTTTTGCGCGTTTCCAGTCACGCGGTCCGGCCCGCCAGTTCCTCTTAACCATTTTCGGGCACAGATGGAGAAACAGCTCCCTCTCCTTTTCTTTGTTTTACTTGAGAGGAGTAAATCTGTTTTAGTGTAAATAGTTCATAGTGTAGTATTTAGTTAAGTGATATATATAGATGCTGTTAAGAAAAAAAATTTCTCTTTATAGTTACTTAGTTAATTAATTTTACTACAATTCCTAGCTCCCCAGGATTTAAGAGGTGTGTGCTTTGTAAAGACTCCATGCCTGCTTCAGACGGGCATGCGGAGTGCATAAAATGTCTTGGTGAGGGGCACATTCCACAGACGTGCCCTCACTGTTCAAAGCTAACTGCCAGGGTTCGCAGAGACCACAAAATGCATCTCAAAATGCTTCTTTTTGACAAAGCCCTCACACCACAGTCAGACCCTCTGGCGGAGGCGTCTCATCATGTCCTGACTAAAGCTGCTTACAAGAAGCCGCCTCCCTCTCCATCTTGCTCTACCACCCAGAGTGAGTACGGCTGACAAACCGGGCACCTCAGGCTCAGGTTTAGTGGTGACCCGCAGGCTGGAGAAAGACAAGTACACCCGAAGTGCATCGGCACCAAGCCCATCGGAACATGCGCCACATCGGACTAAGTTGACTCCATGAGTGGTGCCGTCAATGAAAGCTCTGGCACCGGAGTCTTCGGCACTGAGACTCTCGACATTGGGGTCTTCTCCAGCACCAAGGGCCAGAGCACCGCCCTCGCCACCGAGAGCCAGGGAACCGTCATCGCCGCTGGCACCAAGAGCTAGGGCACCGTCACTGCCCCCAGCCCCGAGAGCCACGGCACCTACGGAGCTGCCGACACCGAGAGATGCGGCACCTACTTAGTCTTCCGTGTCCCGTACTACTAAAGCGCCACTCTCTACCACTAGAAGGCAGCACCGGCACAGGCGGCCCGAACGGCACCATCACGGAGGTCACCGTCATCGCCGCTGGCACCAAGAGCTAGGGCACCGTCACTGCCCCCAGCCCCGAGAGCCACGGCACCTACGGAGCTGCCGACACCGAGAGATGCGGCACCTACTTAGTCTTCCGTGTCCCGTACTACTAAAGCGCCACTCTCTACCACTAGAAGGCAGCACCGGCACAGGCGGCCCGAACGGCACCATCACGGAGGTCGGCCACCTCCGTATAAAGAGCACAGCGGCTTCTTACCCTGTCTCCTAGTCCAGGTCCGGAAACATTTTCACCGGAACCACCATCTCCACCAGCTCGCTCTCCTAGGGTGACTCACTACCATTCTCCATATCATGATGACCGCTGGTTCAGGCGATACGATTTCAGGGATTGTTCTCCACGCTTGCTGTCTCACTCAGCAGTTGTCATTGTCGCTCGATCATCCGTGGCACCACCCAAGTGTGTGTCTCTTTCCTCACAGCCCGGAACCACCATCTCCACCAGCTCGCTCTCCTAGGGTGACTCACTACCATTCTCCATATCATGATGACCGCTGGTTCAGGCGATACGATTTCAGGGATTGTTCTCCACGCTTGCTGTCTCACTCAGCAGTTGTCATTGTCGCTCGATCATCCGTGGCACCACCCAAGTGTGTGTCTCTTTCCTCACAGCCTGACAGGCCCCCCCACCCACGCATGCCAGTGGATATAGGCTACCCAGCCGATACAGAGGACTCCCATCGTCATCCCCGATGGAAGTAGCATCATCATCCCCTGATGACGCTGTATTCCAGGGGGATACCTCTCCCACGGATGACATCAAGGACTTTCAAGAACTTTTCAAAAGGGTCACTGAGAGTCAAAATGTCAAGTTAGGAGAGGTACAACAGAAGCAGTATCACTTATTGAGGAATCTTCACTTCTGTCTTCAAAAATAGCTCTTCCACTAGACGATGCTATCTTAGAAATAGCCGACTCCATTTGGCAAACGCTGGCCTCCGCCCCACCCACGAATAAAAAGGCGGATAAAAAAATATTTAGTCCCTGCTACTGGCATGGAGTTTTTGTTCAACGACCCTGGGCCCAACTCCCTCGTTCTGGATGCAGTCCAGCAAAGGGCAAAAGCATCCCAGTATAAGAACACTGCAGGGGACAAGGATGTTAAATGGCTGGACCTGTTTGGCAGGAAAGTCTACTCTTCTGCCACCTTGTTGCTCTGCATGGCGAACTATTCCGCCTTGTTAACTAACCGCAACTTTGACAATTACGTCAAATTGGTCCCTCTCCTAGAACATCTTCTGGAGTTCAAGTGCCAGATACTGAAGGGTGTTATACAAGAGGGCTTCGCGTCTTCACGATCAGTGCTCCACATCATGCTAGACATGGTGGACACGGCAGCTCACACCATGGTGACATCTATCATTATGCGATGAGCTTCCTGGCTTCACATAGCAGTGGCCTCCAGAGAGCTCCAGACCAAGGTCGAAGATCTGCCGTTTGATGGACAAAACCTGTTCACAGATAAGACGGACCAGGTTTTACATTCTGGGAAACACACGTGTACTACCTTAAGAATATTGGGGATGTACACACCACCTTTCAGACGCAAATGTTATACGCCTTATCAGAGGCAGTGACCATTCCCATACACACCACACCAGGGGAGACAGTACGATGCTCAAAGAGGGTGTCAATGTCCCCAGAGACGCCGCCCTCAACAACCCAGACCAGCGCAACAGCAGTCGAACAAACAGCAAGTTTGACGCGAGCATTGAGGGACTGCGAACCATCCAGTTGACACCCTCCTCCAACGCCACCAAAGCATTGTTTCACCACCGCTTAAGGCCCTTCCAACATTGTTGGGCCACCATCACGTCAGAATGATGGGTCACACAACTGATAACATCTGGTTACGTGATTCCATTTCTCTCGCTCTCCCCCCCCCCCCTTCAGGGACACTTCTCACGAACCTCTTCTCACCCAAGAGGTATCCCACCTCGAGCTAGGGGCTATAGAGAGGGTTCCAGAGTCTTTCCACGGCAGGGGTTTTTACTCCCGTTACTTTCTAACAGAGAAGAAATCAGGCGGATGGAGACCTATACTCGACATTCGGCAATTGAATTGCTATCTACGCTGACAGCACTTCAGGATGGTGACATTGGCAAAGATCATTCCAGCACAGGAACAACACGATTGGTTCACATCCCTCGATTTGCAAGATGCCTACTTCCATATCGCCATACATCCAGCACACTGGGGATTTCTTCGTTTTATAGTAGGGAACAATCATTATCAGTATAAGGTCCTGCCATTCGGGCTATCATCAACTCCGAGAGTTTTCTTGAAGACTCTCGCAGTAGTGGCGGCTTATCTTCGTCGCCTAGGAGTTATCATCGTCCCCTACCCAGACGACTGTCTTCTCAGAGCACGCTCATTTGAAGGATCCTCTCAAGTGGTCACTACTACGACCCAGTTATTCAACATACTAGGTCTTATGCTCAATGTTCAAAAGTCTACACTAACTCCTCAGCAGTCCATAGAATTTATTGGAGCCCTCCTCGACTCCACGACAGCGCATGCCTATCTACCACTCTCCAGGTTCCGCACAATCCAAGACTTAATACAGGTTATTACCACAAGCCCTACTGTAGCTGTCCTCATGTCTTCAACTGTTAGGTAATATGGCGGCCACGACGTTTGTGGTATCCAACGCTAGGCTCCACCTCCGCTGTCTTCAGCTCTGGGTATCCAAGATATATGTACCTGGCAGACACAACCTGCACAGGTCCGTAGTAGTTCACGTCATAGTCAAACGTTCTCTTCGCTGGTAAATGGCATCAGTCAACATCATGATGGGCATGCCCTTTCACAAACCAAAACCCACGATACAGCTTACAATGGATGCCTCGTTGATCGAATGGGGAACGCACATTCAAGACAGTCAGATTCAAGGTCAATGGTCCCCAGAGGAGTCCCTTCTCCACATAAACCTACTGGAATTACAGGCAGTCTCGAATGCATGCAGACACTTTCTTCCCTGCCTGCGCAACCGGGTTGCCATAGTTTTGACAGACAATATGACCACCGTTTACTATATAAACAGACAAGGAGGAGCTCGTTCCCACTTCCTGTGCATGGAGGCTGTCCGTCTCTGGAACTTCTGCAATCTTCACAAGGTGACTCTTATAGCTGCTTACCTACCAGGGAAAGACAACAGCACGGCCGATGAGCTCAGCAGGCAATTCGCTAAACAGCATGAGTGGGAAATACAGCCACATGTACTATGTGCTATATTCGACAAATGGGGTCACCCGTTAGTCGACCTCTTTGCCACGCAGTATAATGCGAGATGCACTCACTATTGCTCCAGAGTGGCCATAGGCCGAGCCTCCCTAGGGGATGCTCTCTTTTACAACTGAAGCGGCAAGTTGCTTTATGCATTCCCTCCCATTCCACTAATATCCAGAGTCCTAGAGAAAATACTTGTTGACAATGCAACAGTAATTTTAATAGCACCATTCTGGCCCCCCCAGACATGGTTCCCTTACCTCTTTTGGATGTCTCCTCATCTCTTCCATCTTCCGAATTGTCTGGACATTCTCATGCAGGTCCATGGCCGCACTCTACATCCACAACCATATCGCCTCACTCTCATGGCCTGGCTCCTATCTGGTTCAAACAAACTGAGATAATTTGTTCTCATGAGGTGAAGGATGTACTTCTGCACAGCAAAAACCTTCAACGCGAGCTACTTACCTTCATAAATGCCACAGATTCCAACAATGGTGCATTGCCAATAACTTACTCCCTACCACTTCCTCATTGCAATTCATTCTGGAATACATTCTACACCTTAAACGAACAGGCCTCGCTATTTCTTTGCTCAAAGTGCATCTGGCAGCGATCACGGCTTTTCATCAGCCCATAGAAGGGTTCAACCCCTTTTCTCACCCAACTACAAAGAGGTTCCTAAAAGGAATTACTAATCTCTTCCCTGAGTACAAGCGGCCTCCGGACTCTTGGAACTTAGAGCTCGTCTTAGCCTAATGCATCCACCATTTGAACCATTACCTACCTGTGATTTTAATACGCTTGCCATGAAAGTCATATACCGTTTGGCTATTACTTCAGCCAGAAGGGTGGGGGAGTTGGCAGCTCTACTGGCCAAGCTCCCGTATACCATTTTCACTCCTCAGGCGGTTATCCTTCATTCTCAGCCATCCTTCCTGCCAAAAGTTAATTTTGCCTTCCATATAAATGAGCCCATCATAGTACCGGTTTTCTATCCAAAACACCATACCTCAGAACATCAAGCAAAGTTACATTCCCTCTATGTACGTAGGTCCTTGTTTTTTACATCAACAGATCTCGAGAAGCAAAGAATTCTCAGCACTTGTTCATCTCCATGGATGCTCGTTCTAAAGGTTCCACACTTTCCTCACAAAGAATCTCTAAAATAATCATTTCCTCCATAACTCGATGCTATGAACTGAGAAATAGACAACTTCCAAACACCATTGCAGCTCATTCTACCAGAGCCATGGCTTCTTCAGCAACTTTCCTTAAGGGAGTTCCCCTAAGGGACATCTGCCGAACAGATACCTGGTCTTCGGACTTCACATTTCCAAACATTATGCTCTACAGAATATCGTTATGACTGATGCAGCTGTAGCCACCACAGTGCTAACCTCGGCAACAATCCACTGATTCTGAACCCGCCGTCTTCTTTCAGGCTACTGTTGTGAAATCACTCACAATGGAGCACCCATGGGAACACTACCCGAAGAAGTTACTCACCTTGTACAGTAATGATGGTTCTTCGAGGTGTGTATCCCCATAGGTGCTCCACTAGCCCTTCTCCCCGCTTTGGAGTGTCTCTCTCATATCTTTCAGACTTCAACAGTCACGAGGAACTGGTGTGCTGGACCGCGCGACTGGAAACAGTGCGAAAAGCCGCAAGGTGGCCACCGTGCATGTGCAGTCCGGCAAACAGCTAGAAGAGCTCCGATCTGCGGCGCCGGAATGGGACCCAACACCCACAGTGGAGCACCCATGGGGGGGGACACACCTCGAAGAACCATCATTACTGTACAAGGTGAGTACCTACTTCTTCCATGTTTGTAATCAGAGGTGCTATCTGACTGCCACGTTGGAAGCCATGGTTCTTGCTGAAACCCCCTGATTGCACAGTCTGAGAATGTTGAATCTACTGAGATATTCTTTAACTCTGAACCTAACCATAATAATTTTAGCCCCCCTTTTTTGGCAGCCTTGTTGTCAAATTGCCAATCCTGTCCAGTATAGTAACCCCTTATGTAATGTTATAGTTACCCAATGACTGGAAGATAGGTAATGCAACGCCAATATTTAAAAAGGGCTCTAGAGACGACCTCGGCAATTACAGACGGGTAAGTCTGACATCAGTACCAGGCAAATTAGTTGAAGCAATAGTAAAGAATAAAATTGTCAGACACGTAGAACATAATTTGTTGGGCAAAAGTCAACATGGTTTCTGTAAAGGAAAATCATGTCTTACTATCTATTAGAGTTCTTTGAAGGGGTCAACAAACATGTGGGCAAGAAGGATCCAGTAGATATAGTGTACTTAGATTTCCAGAAAGCCTTTGACAAGGTCCCTCACCAAAGGCTCTTCTGTAAATTAAGTTGTCATGGGATAAGAGGGAAGATCCTTACATGGATTGAAAACTGGTTAAAAGACAGGAAACAAAGGGTAGGAATAAATGGTAAATTTTCAGAATGGAGAGGGGTAACTAGTGGTGTTCCCCAAGGGTCAGTCCTAGGACCAGTCCTATTCAATTTATTCAGAAATGATCTGGAGAAAGGAGTAAACAGTGAGGTGGCAAAGTTTGCAGATGATACTAAACTGCTCAAGGTAATTAAGACCAAAACAGACAGTGAAGAAGTTCAAATCAGCAAGAGAGATTTAAAGTAGATACTAGGAAAAAAGCTTTCTAATACAAAGGGAGTTAGGCTCTGAAAAAGGCTTCCAAAGAAGAAAGGGATGCAGAATCCCCATCACTGGAAGTTTTTAAACACACATGGGCCAAACACTTATCCGAGGTGGTCTAGATTTCCTTGGTCCAGCAAGTAACAGCGATAGCCATAATATGGTATAATATGCCAATTCTAAATGGCATGACATTGTGGATATAAATTGTGCTCATTTTCATGAGCCAGAAGGGCTTCTACCCACTGAAAACGTGGCTGATCCACCTTTTCCCTTTACCACCTCCAAGTCTGTGTTCTGGTGAAGGTGGCAAGAGGGATAATTCTATTTAGAGTGAATACAGAAGTTGTAATAATGTGTATTTCAATATATATGTCAGTGTGTAAAAAATCATAAACCATCAATGTTTTTTCCATCTTGTTGCATTCACAAACATAAGAACGGCCGTACTGGGTCAGACCAAAGGTCCATCTAACCCAGTATCCTGTCTACCGACAGTGGCCAGCACCAGGTGCCCCAGGGGGGGTGGACTGAAGACAATGATCAAGTGAATTGTCTCCTGCCATCCTTCTCCAGCCTCTGACAAACAGAGGACAGGGACACCATTTCTTTCCCTTGGCTAGTAGCATTTTATGGACTGAACCTCCATGAAATTATCTAGCTTCTCTTTAAACTCTGTTATAGTCCTAGCCTTCACAGCCTCCTCTTGCAAGGAGTTCCACAGGTTGACTACGTGCTGTGTGAAGAAGAACTTTCTTATATTAGTTTTAAACCTGCTACCCATTAACTTCATTTGGTGTCCTCTAGTTCTTCTATTTTCTTTATTCACCCTCTCCACACCACTCATGATTTTATATACCTCTATCATATCCCCCCTTAGTCTCCTCTTTTCTAAACTGAAAAGTCCCAGTCGCTTTAACCTCTCCTCATATGGGACCCGCTCCAAACCCCTAATCATTTTAGTTGCTCTTTTCTGAACCCTAAAATCACGAGTGGTGTGGAGAAAGTGAATAAGGAAAAGTTATTTACTTGTTCCCATAATAGAAGAACTAGGGGCCACCACCAAATGAAATTAATGGGAAGTAGGTTTAAAACAAATAGATAAGCAATGTACCAGTGTTAATTGGGACAATATTAAATAAAGCATTATTGTACTGCTCTTGGAAAAAATGTTGCTATAGCAGAAGCCCTCAGAGAGGAAGAGACAGCCTTAAGTGTACGACAAAGTGATATTCCATTTTATGGTCATTGTTGTCCTCCCCCACCCCGCGAGGGGACAGCATTATCTTTGATGAGTGCTGAAAGTGTCCCATTTACTTTGGAAAGAGACATGAAATCTGCTTTGATATGGTGTACATTGTAGAATTTTTTTTTTTTTTTGCACACATGAACAGTCTCTTAGATTTTGCCGTTGTCTCTCATTCATCTTTAATTCCTTTCCCAAAAACACATGAAGGAGAAAGTGTGGCTCAGATTTTGAACAAGTTGGAATTTTTTTTTTGTAATTTCCATACTAATCCTCCTTCTGTAGAATCTTTTTTCTTAAATGGGCTCATGGAAAGAACAACTGAAGTGCCTAATCGCCTCCAATACTGTCTTCTCAAATTATTCAGCAAGAAAAAGATCCTCCTGCTTCATTTCATCCTTCACTCTAGACTGTCAATGAGCTACATAGGCCAGTGAGTGGGCTGTGTGAATAGCCCTTCTTCATCTCAGTGGGCTACAAGTTTGTTGTAACTAAGACAGTCTCCCAGATAGGGCAGTTTGCTAACTGTGCTTGCATGCTTAGAATTTGTGGGGTGTGCTGATTGAACCATGACAACATTATCATTGGCTGCAGAGGAAATGCCTGGCTTTCACAGTTCATGTTGTATTCAATCAGGAAGCACCTCACTTCATGTGCCCTTGTGTTACATGTGTGTCACTTTTGTAATACCTGTAGGAAAAAACCTTTGTGGATGGAAACCACCAGAATATGGCAACCCTGCACATGGGCAATGGTAAACAAAAATGTCTTGTGGGCCACACACAGAATACCAATGGGCTGCATGCAGAATACCCCAGGTCCACAGCTTCTCTAGAAGGAGTTTGACAGTTCACCTTCCACTTGTGGAGAAGATCCTAATGTTCTTTTTTTGCTTCTTTTTTCTTCCACTGGATTTAATCTAGGAAATATGTGCAATCTTCTTTTTCTTGTGTGATGTAAACAAAGATGCAGAAGAAACAATTCTGTTCCTTTTATCAGACTTTTCCTATGGTAAACAACCTTTTGAGCAAAGCCTTTAGTTCTGGTGCCCTCTGGTGATGAGTCTGAGGAAAACTTATCCCCAGAAGAACAGGCCAGTTTACTCCAAATTTTCTTGGGCAATGTCTTGAACACTTTCCCTCTTTTTCTTAATTTACTCTTTAGAGAGGCGAGGATTAGGAACCTGAGTCAGAGGAGTCGTCCTACTAGCAGATATCTCTTCATCTTTGCCCTTTTTCACTTAGTGCTCGGGCTAACAAGACTACAGTCTCTGAGATAAAAGCACTTTTCACACCAAATTCAAAAAGTCCTTACCTAGCCCAAGAGGAAATTTCTTCCTTTTGAGGGGGATTCCCTCCTCCCCATCAGGCAGAATTCCTGACTTCCCATGGGGATAAGGGATACAGACTGAATTGCCCATGAGAGGATTAGGAAACCTCTTCTACAGGTGGCATGCAACCTAAACTGTA